TAAGGCTTCTGGTCAACCGTAGGCTATTAGTAGTTAAGTTTTGGGAAAGGCAAAAATTATACGCAGATTTTCAACTGTGCGTTGTTCAAGGATCAACTGTATTTATTTGTATTCTTGTTGAATCAATATGAGCTATTTCCAGTTTGGGCCATTATGAATAATGCTGCTCTGAGCATTCTTCTGGTGATTATAAGCACTCATTTCTATTGAATAGGTGTCCAGAAGTGGAATTTCTGTGTCATAGGGTAGGTGTATGTTTAGCTTAAAGGCATACTACCAACTGCTTTCCAAAGTCATTGTGCCACTCCCAGCTGAAATATATGAGAGTTCCATTTTTTCCTTATCCTCATCAGCACTTGGAATCATGAGTCCTTTTAATTTTAGCCCTGTTGGTGGGTATATAATGGCATCTCGCATTTGTATTACCCTGATGACTGTTGACATTTAGCGCCTTGTATGCTTCTCAAACATTGAGGTACTTTTTTTCGTGAAGTACCTGTTTAGGTCTTTTTTTTTTTTCTTCATTTAAAAACATTGTGTTGTCTTTTTCTTACTGATAGGAATTCTTTATATATTACAGATACAAGTCTTTTGTTGGATATCTGTATTGCAAGTAGCTTCTCTCAGTCTGAGATTGTCTTTTCATTCTCCTAATGGTTTCTTTCGACAAATAAAAATGTTTAATTTTAAGAAAGTCCAATTTATCGATTTTTAAACTTATGGGTAGTGCTTTTGTGTCCTATTTTAAAAGATCTTTGCCTAGCTCAAAGTCATGAAGATTACGTCTCTGTTTTCCTCTAAAAACTTTATTGTTTTAACTATCACATTTAGGTGTTTTTGTATGATATGAAAGAGCAGTCAGTGTTCTTTTTTATCCCCCAAAGGATATCCAGATAACCCAGAATTCTTTCTCAAAAAAAACCCACTCTTTTCCCCATGAATTGTAGTGGAAATTTTGTCGTAAATCAGATAACCATATATGTGGGGTCTGTTAATGCATTTTTTTTTGGTTTTTTTTTGAGTGTTAATAAGTTATTACTCTTCTCAAGAATTATTACATATTCTTTACAAAGATTTTTTTTATGGCACAAATTTTTCAGACCTTGATAATTAATGTTCAGTTAGGTACTTTATTTAATAATTCCAATATTGTTGGGCACTTGAGTTGTTTATAACTTGGGGCTATTAGTCAATATATTATAAACATTATCTTTTAATAGAACAAAAATAATATATCACAGTTATTTTGCTCTTATCTGACGACTAAGCAGATTGACTATTTTCCCACATGTCCTGAACTGTGTTAATATCTTTTTCCATTTATTTGCAAGTGTCCTGTTTTTGTTATCAGTTCTCTTTATCTAATAAAGATCTTAAACTTGAGTACACATTTATTAAAAAGCTTTTTCCCTCAGTCTGTTTGCTGTCTATTTCTTTTAAACATTTAGAAAGAAGTTTACACACTTTATATTAAATTTGACCATCATTCTCTTTGTGATTTCTCAGATTACTCCTAAGCTTAAGAAGGTTTTCCCTCTCCAAAATCTTCATGAAAATACAATTCTCTCTCCTTTTTTTCTCTCAATTTTTCCTGTTTGATTTTTTTTTGTTTCTTTTTTTTTTTTTTTTTTTTTTTTTTTTTTTTAACTTACATCCAAATTAGTTAGCATATAGTGCACCAATGATTTCAGGAGTAGATTCCTTAGTGCCCCTTACCCATTTAGCCCATCCCCCCTTCCACGACCCCTCCAGTGGCCCTCAGTTTGTTCTCCATGTTTATGAGTCTCTTCTGTTTTGTCCCCCTCCCTGTTTTTATACTGTTTTTGTTTCTCTTCCCTTATGTTCATCTGTTTTGTCTCTTAAAGTCCTTATATGAGTGAAGTTATATGATTTTTGTCTTTCTCTGACTGACTAATTTTACTTAGCGTAATACCCTCCAGTTCCATCCACGTAGTTGCAAATGGCAAGATTTCATTCTTTTTGATTGCCGAATAATACTCCATTGTATATATATAT